TATCTGTATCTGTATCTGTATCTGTATCTGTATCTGTATCTGTATCTGTATCTGTATCTCTATCTCTATCTCTATCTCTATCTCTATCTATCTATCTATCTCTGTATTTACACACACACGTATGTATATATGTATATGCACACATATGTGTGTATATATGTGAAGAATGTATCACTGCACATAGGAATCCCTAATTAACCTTTCCTTCCTCATCTTTCTCTCTTATTCTCCCTTCACCCTGTGTCTGTGTATCTTTGCCTTCTACCATGTTTGAAATAGAGTGTTATGTTTCGTGGGGTTTTTTTTGGGGGGGGGTTGTTTGTTTTGTTTTGTCTTTTCCACTTTATTTGCCAGGTCCACTAACTTTCAGGGATTTTTCTGTCTCTGTCTCTCACCTTCCTGTGCACTATTAGGTCCCTCATGCTTCTGTGGCAAGTACTTTATCCACCGAGCCATCTTGCATCTTTCCCTGTCCTCTGGCGATGTAAAGAATGCAGATGGGAGGACGGCCTGGTGAGACCTTGGATGAGCAAGGAGAACCCAGCAGCTTGGGAAAGGGAGTGAGTGCTCCCACAGAGCCTGCTGATTAGCTCAGGCCCTTTGTCCAGGCACTGAGCTGACTGCTCACTGCCAGCCGCACTCAGCTTTGCCTCCTGGCTCTGGCTTACCTGGCTCCTTAGCTGCGGCCTGCACCCCGCAGCTGCTGGTCCAGCTGGCAGAGCTGGCGCAGGAAGCCACGGTTGGGGAAGATCCATCGGCGGTCCCTCACAGTGATGACAGCCTGCCGCAAGGACAGCTGCTGGTGCAGCATGAGGTAGGCCAGGACCAACGTGGCAGAGCGGCTCACTCCCACCACACAGTGTACTAGCACCTTAGCTGAAGAAGACACAGGAGTCAACAACGCCTTCCCACCAGCCAGCCCAACCCAAGAGACAGGGCCAAAACCCAAAAGCCATTCCTGAACCTGTCTTGGGTGCATTATGGGATCCCTGTTCATGTCCCTCATCCTTTCATGGGTCTCCATTTCCTGATCTTTCAAATGAGTAGACTAATATGTGTTTTGTTATGTCTTGAACTACAGTTTAAACTCTCAGCATGACTTACAAAAGCCTTTGAGAATGAGCCATTGCTGACCCTGCACCTCACCTCAGCCAGAATCCGCCTCAAACCTCAGCTCTAGGAACACAGGCTGACTTTCAGTTCCTTGGAGCTGCCACAGCCTCTGACCTTTTCCCTGATCTTGGTCTGACTAGGTTTATTCATCCATCATGTCTCATCTCAGACATGGCTTCCTCCGTTGGCTTTCCTCACCACTCAAGGTATTGCTTGAGTCACAAGCAGTCAGTCCTTTCTGCACATGACCTAGGGAAACTGGTGGGAAATCCCAAACACCACGGTCCCCTGGGTTGGATGTTCGAGTAGCTCTTCACATTTGCCATTTCACACCAGTAACACTCAGAATACATACTGTTTGCTTAGCAAGTTCTACAAGAGCAGGCACCCTGGCTTCCTGAAGTCTGGCTTCCTAGAATTTTAGTTGTTTCCCTGACACCAGGCGAATAATGACCAGGTGATGGAGGAACAGATGAAGGAGAAGCAGAAAAGAATGTCAAAGTGCTTTGGCTATTACAAAGCAACATGAATCTTACCAAATTCCTCCTCACAAAAAATATGAGGAAACAAACCCAGAGGACACTGCCTTGCCCACGGTCACAGAGAAAGGGGCATGTTTCCCAGTGTGAACATACAGAAAGGGCTCTAGCCTCTCAAGACCTGTGGAAGCCTGGGTGTTTTGTTTCGGTCCTTTGGAAGTACTTTAGGGCAGACCTCTGGGTACTATGTGGTGCTTTCTCAGGGCTGCCTTTTTCAGACTAAGAATTGTTCTGATTTTTTAAGACTTGGCTTTCAGTCTCATGGCTGCTTCTAACTCATTATGGCCTTGCTATTTGGCCTCACTTTCGCCATCTGTGAAGCAATGTCATTACATAAAATGCTGGGGCATAGAGTGGAAGATTTTTTTTTTTTTTTTAAGGGAAGGGAGGATGCTGGGGACTGGGGAAAATTGGATAGCCTTCCCACAAGTGAGCAGAGTGGAGTCAGGCTCGACCTCAAGTCCTACCCCCAGGTGTGTTGAGGGCACGGTGGATGAAGTCAGCTGCTGAGGAGAAGTAGGTGCTGATGTTGAAATCAGGGAGGTCGTGGGCTGGTACCCCCAGGTAGCTCACACTGCTGCCATAGAAGTCAGGGCCCCCCTGACAGTAGAGTCCCCCGTGGGCGGCGTTCAGCACATGGGTGATCCCCAACTTCCACAGCTCAAATCGGTTGTTTGCTGTGGCCCTGGGAAGGATGGAAAGGGGGCTGGATTCAGACTGAGCCTCTGGGTCAGGAAGGAAGCTTGTTTGACCTCTGCTTTGGTGAGGGTAAAGCTATAGCTGTATAAAGGGAGCTAGAATCCCGCGACCCTGAGCTGGGTGCGCAGCTCTCTGCCCAAGCCCCACAGCTTTCTGATGGTGGAGTTGGTGCTGCGAGGGGTGTGCTTAGGCCCCCTTGGTTGTCTCGGGCAGCCTGCCCCCACCCAAGGCAGGAAGGAAGAGATTGTTTCAGCTGCCCCTCCTTTCTTGCCACATCTCCTCCTACGCATAAACATCATCTAGAGTCACTTGGTCACCACGTCATACCTGCTACTGAGCCACAAATATTAAATGACACCTTTCCTGATTCATCCTAGTCAGGCTTCTCCGCCCACTCAGTGCCCACAAGAGGAAAGCTGGGACCAGATCTATGTCTACGCCATTTCATATTCCAAACGTTATTGCTTCCCAGAGTGGCCAGTTGCCTTAAGATGTGCCTGAAGACCCCAGAGATCATCCAGCCAAGAGCTCCTGTAGACCTTCCCAAGAAATAAAACCAAAACGCTCAGGCTCCCCCCGGTGGTAGAAACTGGTCACTGACTCGCTCCTGGCGCTTAGGAGTTGGGGAGAAAATTCCTGGCCGGGGGCGGGTTAGAAGCAACTAATTCTCCTTGTTCCCTCCAGCCACCCCCTCCGGAGCTGTTTCAAGAGTTCTAGGATTGCTTTCCTTGGCCGGACTCCTGCAAGCCTGTCAGAAGCCACTCACGCATCTCCTATGAAGAGGTTGGGCCAGACTTCGTCCACGCGGCTGCAAGAGGCTCTCCCGGCCCTCAGGAGCTCCTCCAGCTGCAGGACACCAGGGCAAGGTGTGGTTTCTGATTCTTCCCCCAGTTTTGGGATGGAGGCCTCAGCCATGAGCCAGCCAGCCTACCCCACAGGCGCTGCGGTCACTCTTCCTGCCTCTCCTGTGTCATCTCTCCTTCCCAGAGATTGGCAGTGACAGGTGAGGACAGAGTGACTCAGCAAGTCCCAGGGGCCTCCAAAGAGAGCAAGACCTCTTTCTCTTGAGCCAGCTCTTGGAGAACATGGAATTAGACCCCTACAAGTCACCATCTTGCTCCACCTCTGTCATGTTCTTCTGTAAGGATGTACCTGCCTGGAGATACTATTGCAAAGGGTTAAAGAAACCAAAAGGCTTCACTGTGTCTAACATACAGTAGGTGCTTTAAAATAGTTTAATTCCTAGGTTTAGAGCCCTTGCATAGTTTTTTCCGTTCTGAGGGCAGAGTTAAAGCAGAGAAGAGCACAGAGTGATGAATGAGAACAACTTTTCAGGGCTAAGTGGGCCACAAACTGGGTGGGATGCCAGTGTCTGTTGGATTGGAACCTTTGGACTGTGGAACACAGGGGAAATCTCCAGAGTTGTGGGGTCACAGAAACTTAGGGAAATGTGGAAGAAAGCATCTGAAGTATTTCATGTCCAAGATTTCATGTCCTATAATGAAGATAGCTGATTTTTTTTTTTTTAAAGAGAAAGCGGATGGGTCTTTGTATATCAAAGAGAGGTGAACATTGCCCTAGGCTCTGAAAGTCCAAGGACCTGGCATTAGAAACATTTTTAAAAATATTTATTATTTTTATAATTAAAATCTTTTGTTGGTACTGGAGAGCTGGCTCGGGAGCACAAACATACATGCAGGCAAACATTTATACATATAAGTTTTTGAGTGTCTGTATGTGTGCCATTTGCATCCCATGCCTGTCCGCTGTGCTCAGAAAAGGGTGTTGGATCCTCTGGAATTAGAGGTATAAGTGGTTTTGAGGTGTCAAGTGGGACTGAACCTGGGTCTTTGACAAGAGAATCAAGTGCTCTAACCACTGAGGTACATCTCTACTCCCATCAGAAACACTTTGTGAATGGGCGAATTCTTTGCCTACAAGGGTTGTGGGAGATGACATGTTTTGCCCCGTTCTATGGAGGCCCTGAAGGGTATGAACACTCTGGACAAATTCCTAGCTACTGTTCTTAGGAGTCTAGCTTGAAGAGAAAGCCACACGAAGGAACCCATATCTGCCCTCATGTTCACCTCAGAACCTGCTCTATCCCCTTCAGAACTACCAAAGCTGGCCCTGCATTGTTCAGGAAAGTAGAGCCAAAGAGGACCTAGACTTCAAGCTGCAGGTGGCTTTGGACGTGGATTCTGCCAGTTTAGAAAGGGGCGTTTCGTTAGGGCAGGGTAGGGTAGTGGCAGGAAAGAACACAAGTCCTGCTGGCAATTTGGGCTTGGAATACTAGCTTGGATACATATTAGCTGTGCTATGTCAGCCTACAGTGTGTGTGGAAAGCCTACAGCCTTTGCAGAGTTGAAACAACGATTGAGAGTTAGTCTCTCGCACACAGTCAGAATAAAGGAGCAATAAAAGATGTTACTTGGGGCTTGCTGAAAAGGAGCTAGCCTTTTCAAAGGACTCAGAATAGCCTCTTCCTAGGTTCCAGTCCGACTCAGCGGCTTCAGCATCCTCTCTCATCTTCACTCAGACCGTTTCGCCGAGGAGACTAGAGCTGGACGCATGCGCTCTGGCCTCCACCCGCCCGCCCCGCCCCGCCCCCACCTGCTTTTTTTTTTTTTTCCTCCGCTCTTTTCCGGTTTTGGGCCCGCCCCCTCCCCGGCAGTGCCCCGCCTCCCGAAGCAGTTCCGGTTCGGCTGGCCGCTGCTGGCGGCTCGGCGCCGTCCGGCCGGAGCGATGCCCGCGCGTAGCCGAGCCGGCTCCCGCCAGCGCTCCGGCTCCCCGCCCCGGGCTCCAGGTGCGCCTCTCGAGGCGCTGCGCTCCGCCGACGCGCCGAGGGCCCCAGACTCCGACGGCGCCTCGGACGCCGGCTCCGAGCTGGGTCCGGGCAGCCCGGCTCCCACCGCGGAGGTGAGCGGGCGCCGAGGCTGAGGAGAGGGGAGATTGGGGGGCGCCTGCAGCCAAGGGTGAGTGGAGAGCCGGGGTCGCCGAGGGCCGGGAGACGGTTGGGAGAGCCAGGGGAGGCCGCTCTGGAATGGAATCCGGAGGAAATCAGGGGGTTGAGCTGACCCCGCGGGCTGTGAGAGATGAGGCGCGGGGGCTGGGCCCTGGCAGCCCTTGTAGTGAAGGAGGGACGTGCCAGGGGTCCCCGGGATCCGGACCTGCAGGGGAGGTGCCCGAGGCCGCGGCCGTAGAGATGACGAGTGGGAAGCTGGCCCCTGGTCTCCTGAAACCGGCACGAGGGCAAGGCAGCCGGGTGGGGACTGACAGCCGGCTGACCCGGGGCGAATGGTGGCTTTGAAGGGCCGGAGTCAGGGTTGGCTGGCCAGAGGGAGGGGCTGTCGGGTGGCAGGTCGCTTGGCCTAAAGGTTAGAGAGGAAAAGGCCAGGCAAAAAAAGGAGCCCTTGGGGGATCTAATTTAGGACTGTGGCTTTTTTACAGGGAGGTGTCTGTCAAGGCGTCAAAGATCTCTGGGTAGTGGATGTGGGCTGTGGGCTTTCTTGTTTTAAGGATCTGGAGTGCGAGGGGCGGGCATGCGTTACTGAATCTCGTCCAGGGACGGGGAGGCGAATGGAGAGGAAGTGATGTTCGAAGAGGGTAGTGATTTCTGAAAATAAAGCTGTCACTCTGATTTCTTCTGACGCGAGTGGTTTATTCTTTTTCTTTGTGCTTAAAAAGGTTTAGATGTTAGGCGAGCTTAAATCTTAAAAAGGAGACTTAATACATTACTTTTAAATTTTAAAAATTAAACCTGAGAGAGGAATTTGGACGCTTGGATTTTTAGAGATATTTCGGTGAGAATTGTTAACACTTGTGTACGGTTTGAGTTGACCCGCATATTGGCTAAAGGGTGGAAATTTGGTTCGTGGAAATTTGTGGGTCAAGAGGGCCATTTGCTGCCAAGAGTGAAACCACCAACAGTCCCAGAACCCACAAGATTTTCCCACTGGTAACTCCAGGATTCGGGTTACCTCGTAAAAAAATTGAGGGGTAAATTTGACAGCTTTTTCAGGTCCAGTATTCTTCTACTTTGCAGATTTTTACATGAATGTTTTTTTTTTCCTATAGTGATAGAAAAAAAAAAGGTAGTAAGGGGAGGTTATAGTTGGCAGCTGACAAAAGGAACAGGTGAGCACACAGGTGCTTTTTTGAAGACATAGTACCAAAGGTGTAACTTTGCCAGAAAAGTATTGATCCTAAAATTTGTGTTCACTTTAAAAGACATGAGAAATGGTAACATGACTTCGTGGAGTCTTTGACTTTTAACTGAGGCTCATGTTTTACTTTCACAGCCCATCAGATAGGTTTCACTAGGTTGTCCGACATTTCAAAACCAACTTTTAGTTATTTTTCTACTCCACCCAAAACCTCTACTGCTTCATCTTCATGAGATGATCATTTACTGATTGCAGCTTTTAGATTGGTTTATTTAAGTCGACCTCATACCATTGAATGCTCAGTGGAAGAATAATTTCTCCAAAGGATAGGAAACTCTTAGCGTTGCTCTTTTGAGGCTGTCGGAAGGTAGGCATCTTCTTTAGTCAAGATGATCTTTAGATGAAAGATTTTATGTAATGTTACTCGTTATGTTTCTGCTCTCCCTGACAGACTGGGATCCTTCAAAGAACCTGTTTTCATATCAGCGTTGGTCTTTTTTTGGAAGCAGTCTCCATGTGTAACACGGGCTGGCCTTTAACATGGCTCTCCTGTGTCAGCCTCCTGAGTATTTGGATTGTAGACGTGCATTCTCCCTCACCCGGTCAAATTCAGCTGATTTGATGTATGAAAATTTGCTGAACTGAAATACAAGGATTTTATTTTGAAATTAAAGAGAGAACTGTTAGATGGAGTTAGAAAATTAATAGGTTGTTGGTTCTCACAGCCACTTAGTTGTAAAGAAGATCAGTTTATGGTAAAGCAGATACTTCGAGGCAGAAGGAGCATTCACAACGGCAGTGACAGAAGTGGCAGGTGTAAATAAAGAAATGATTTCAATAGTGTTTTCCTCATTCTGCAAACTTGCTGTTCATGCCACACAGTTGCCCAGAAATACCTTGACTTCTGTTGTCAAGCCTTCAGTATTTAAACCCTTGCTAACTGTGGTATTGTCATTACTTTTCTCAGAGATAGAATTGAACAGTTTTTGAGAAGCTGTGGAATCCAGATGTTCCAATGGATGTTATTTTTTCTTTCCTTTTTTTTGTTTTTTTTTTTTTTTTTAGAAAAATGCTGGATTAGTCTATAACTTATTCTGCAGTATTTGCCTAGCATTCAGGAGGTTCAATCCCAAGTAGTTGGAGGGGGGGGGAACCTATTAATTAGGCTGTTAAATATCTTTTAAGATTTTTTGCATCCCAGCCTGGTATTATATATGTCATTTATTGGTTGTAACTGATGTGGCCATTAACTTAAAAGATGTCCTTTCTGTCTTCAGATTCTATTTTTAAAGGTTAATTAGTACATTTTCATAGTGTGTACTGTATTATGAAGTCTTGGCCCAGATTATTATTTTCTGTTACATAGATTTGGGGCCGTAGCATACAAAAATAAAGATTTTAATCTGGGCACTGTGGTTTATACATGTAGTCCTGGCACTCAAGGCAAACTAAGAGGATCAGGAGTCAAGGACAACCTTGTTCCTCTCAAAAGGAGATAAGGCAATTTGTAGTTCAGTTGATAGTTTTTGCCTAGTGTGTTCAAACTCTGAGTTCAGTTGCCAGTGTAAAAAATTAAAATAGAAGACTTCACCTGTCAATATGTCAAACTGCCAGCCTGACTATGAATTAGGGCTTTACAGGTTCCGCTTACTTACTGGTGTGCTGTCCCATGGTTTCAGGCCAGGAATCTTGCACTAACTTTTCCACTAAGTTTTGATTACTCTGTAAGCGCTTTTGGTATAGCCCAGGCTGTAAACTAACGAATGTTGTCTCTCACAGTTTTATTCATTGAACAGTTCTGTATGTGGCTAGAATTAGATGCTGCTCAATAGTGGAAGCTCTGATGTAAGAGTATGATGAAAGCAGACAAGATCTGTGTCCCTTCGATATACTCTTGAGTATGATAGTGCATGTTTGGGACAGCAACATAAACATACCTCAGCACTGAGATTCAGCCAGGAGGATGCTGCAGATGCACCTCTGCCTTCTGCTGGTCAGAGGTGGGATGCAGGCACCCAAGAAAGGCCGCGGCCGAGAGAAATATGGATGGTAGCGATTGCTTCTGCATCTCTGCAACTGCTTTGCAATGCATAGTTCCTATGAAATGTTTTAGAAAAAAGTGTCCAGAGCTTGCTAAGAAAAAGTAAAATGTCTCTAGATAAATTTAGAGAGAAAAGTTTATATTTGCTCACTGACTTTCACATTTTTTAAATGGAATGCAAAAAAGCTAGAGTGTCAAATTTCTGTTGCAAAGTGGTTAATCATGAAATTTAGATAGAAATGACCAAAGTGTGGTATGGTTTATGCCTTTTGCTTTTGTCTATCTCTGCAAATTGATATAATTTGTGTCTGTTGTATGCATATTACATAAACTGTATTAGACAAAATTGGAGTTAAATTTATTTCAGGATGAGCATAGCCCTAAAAATATTTATCTATCTGTCTATCTGTCTGTCTGTCTGTCTGTCTGTCTATCTATCTATCTATCTATCTATCTATCTATCTATCTATCTATCTATTTATCATTTGCGTTTTTAACACAATTTATTCACTTTGTATCCCAGTTGTAGCCCCCTCCCTCTTTTATCTATTTATCTATCTATCTATCTATTTATTTATTTATTTATTTATTTAGGGAGTGTCAAGTAAGCCATGGTACCCATGTGGAGCCAAAAGGCAGCTTAAATAAATCAGTTTCACCCTTCTATCATGTGGGTCCTAAGAATGGACTCTAGGTTGTCAGATCTGGCATCTGATGCCTTTGCCCACTGAACCACACCTCAAGTCCACAGTGACTTTGTTTGTTTTGGTTAATAAATACTATGAATGAATTTTTCTTTAATAATTTGAAGCAGCTCAAAGAGCAGAAATAAAAATAACTTTTCTAACAAGCATTTCCTATGCCAGATTCAACACTCAGATTCTGTTTGTAATGTCTGGAAAATTATCACCTTACAAATGATACCACAGTATCTAGAAAAATAACACACTCTCTATAAGAGAACCCAACCCTTCAAGAGAACAGGATTCTCATTATATTGTTGTTCCAGAGAAAGCTAGCTGTCAGTTACCAACTCTAGCCTTCAGTCTTTTGGACAGATCTCTACCATGTCTACCATGTCCATAGCCAAGAAAGATTTCAAAAATAAACCATAAGAGGACAGCCACAAGATGGCAAATTATTCATATTTTTCCAAGGAATGTATGCAGAGCCAAAGCAATAGCCTACCAATGTATGAAGTGAAGAGCTATGTCCGTCAGCACTCAGCAAGCAGAGGGAGGTGGATCTGTGAGAGTTTGAGGCCAGCTTGTTGTACAAAAGCCAGTTTCATGACAGCCAGGCCTGTCTTGGAAAACAAACAAATGAAAAGAAAGAAAGAAAAAGCCATGTGCCCATTCTCCTTTTTAAATGTTTATTATTATTATTATTATTAAAAGTTTTCTTCAGTGCTAGGGATCCAGTTCAGGCCTTCTGCAAATCAGGCAAGCATCTTACCAGGAAAATGGAACTTTCCAGCCCTAGAACTATATTAGCCTTGTTTATAATTTATTTTCTCAATTTCTCCCCCCAAATCTCCTCCTGCCCTTTGAAACAGGTCTCACTTCATAGATCGGAATCTCTCAAGTACTGGAATTGAAGGCATGCTCTGCCACACCCAACCTAGTCTTTTTAAGACTGTTATCCTGCCTTGAGATACGGATTTCATTTTTTTAGTTTTTATCTTTTTGTTGTTGTTGTTTGTTTTTTATATTTTCTTTTGTATTTTGAGACAGGGTTTCATGTCATTGTGTAGCCCTGTCTATCTTGG